TATGCAGCTGCAAAAATTACAATACAAATTGTGGTTCTAAATAATTTTGCTGAAGAATAAACTAAACATCTTAAATTTAAGATCGTAAACAAAATCATACCGCCGACACTTATATAGTGCTATAAGGTATAGCATTAAACTAAATATAGGTAGCAGTATAGGTGAATAGATATTTTTGTCTTTTGGTGAATTTTTAATATTGCAGTCAGAACCACCAAACTAGACATACTAAGTTGTTGTGCGCATCGTCGCATGCCAAGGACTTGACGGCTGTCGACCAGCCACGGCGTTGTGGTTTCTTTCCTTTTCGGTTTATTGGGGAAGGGTCAACTGTGTGACGAAGTCAACACGCACCATATTCGTTTCACGATTGCCGTAGCAGCCTCACGGTATCTTTCGTTGAGAGCCAACAATATAATCTGCCATGAAATGTCAACATTTATCGCTTACTCAAAGTGTCATTGAATAGCAAAGAAGGGAAGAGCAGTTTTTATCTTACTGGTGATACGGTATACGCCGACAAACTGACGTTCCGGACGTATAAATTCAGCATGGGATTCTGTCGGTAGGCCGCCATATCGAAAGCGCCCAGGATCAGTAACGGATACAAGCAGAGAAAATTCCACAAGGAAAAACCAAAGAGCGCGTATGCCATTTGCCGCCGTCGTTGAAACTTCTGATCCAGAGAGCTTTCCGCGATTGAAGTCTTGCGGGATGTATAAGCGCATTTGACGAGGATGGCGATGTATAGGACCATTTGCGTACCATTCGGAATATGACCTGCTAGTGATGTGACCAAAGGATAGAAGCGCGCATTTGGATCGCTGGGATGGACATGAAATCCACATGCCTTCCATGGCTTTGACAAGCCGTATGAGCCACCAATTTCAAAGAGAAGGGGGGTGTATAGAGATTAAAGGTCAGGAGCCACGCGCCGCCTATCTGCAACCGTCCAGAGTAATGCGCTTACATTTTCGCAAGGTACGCAAGTTTAGAAGTACAGTGCCAATATTGTATACCAAACACAAAGTATACTTGCGATTTTCTAAGATGACGATTCATTTTCTTTTAGAAATTCAAATTGTTTAATGTAAAATATGAATAACGTAAAACATACAAGCTTAACCAAAAGTCTATAGTTATATTATGTGCATACGTGAGACCGCTTGCTCAAACCTACCATTAACGCAACTGCCCGTTTCGTTGCCCATTTCTTATAATGATGCGGAAAAACAATAGCCACAAAACGATTAATTGCCAAACAAGCGTTGTTGTCAAAGGTCACCGCATTAAAGATCGTCATGAAAAATCCAACGACCGGGCAGTATTTTGGACTCAGTATATGATAGCGGCCGTTGAGGAAGATGGTCAAGATATTCATGGGGTAATGTACAGCGCACACTGTGGTGTCCACGATGACGGTGTGTAATAGTAAGACACCGGACGCGCTGCTGTATTCACGGACTTCCATCATCACCCAAATCAGTATTACGAAGAAAAAAGTGCCTAGGTAAGACTGGAGTAATGACAAGATACTCCACAGCAATAACGACCTTTCGTAAACTGTCCAAGCTGGTTGGGTAATATTGGAGTACGTTACGTTGATTTTGCTTTCCATGTTAAAGTTGCACATTTTGCATTTATGTAGTTTTCTTGTAGTTTGCAGGACACTAAACCCGCGTCTGTGTTTATGCCTTTTATCCCAAAAGTGTCAAGCAGCGATTGAGGACGTTTAGTAAAGCTCCGCTTACGTGATGAAAAATTGTTTACGTGTTCTCTTTTCTGGAAGGGAATGCCTTTATTTCGAGGCACAAGTTAAATGAGTCGCGACATCTGTGGCCCCATTCAAGGGCACTTGTCCAACGTGATTATGCCGTGATTTATCGCAGATTTCCTTTGTATGGCTCGTTCAGAATTACGACTGGCGTGATCTCCTTCAGGTTTCGGTACAGGTGGGCCGGGAGTTGCGTTAGCCATTTATCGCAACCACTGAACGAAATAATAATAAAGAACTGGAAGCCGGGTCACTGCGAGGCGAATTTTTATCGACATTTCAATAACACTTTTGGATGTTAGGCCAGCATCTGTTAGGTAACCAATGACAAAAGATCAAGACTCACGTGAGGAGAATGTAGTGTTTTGGTTAAGGCCACCCTAGCGTAAAACATGCTACTATTGATTCATACAGTAAATTCATTCCTTGCACTTTAAGCATCAGTTCAGATGCGCCTTTCTGTAAAATGGATCCGACTTATAAAAGGTCAACAGTGACGTGCTCCGTAAGTCTTCTTCGAGGGCGTGCAAATTAGCGTGACAAATAAACACTAACACAAAGCACGTCGGCTCTGAAGAAGATATTGCACAAACACTAGCGTTCGTATGCCGTCAAAATGGTGGAACGAAATCCATTAACGGAGCGAAGTGGTTGGTCAAGTTCATTACACTTCTGCTTATCTTTTAACGCTCTAATGTGTGGTCCTTTATGAGCAAGGTTTAGTAATAAAAGCAGATAATAAAAGCTAAAAAAAACTTGTAGAACAATCAATAACTGGTCAAACAGTATTGGTGACACATCAATACTGCATATAAAATGGTGAAACCAATATTGTATCAAAAGTTACGTCACCATTTGGGCTTTAGGAAGCCTGGATCGTTGGGCAACAAGAGTCCCGACGGACGCATTGGATCATCTGAATTTTTTGCGGCATCGAACCGCACCTTACTTTATCCGTATTTATTACAGCTTGTTTCTTGAGGTGTCGAAATTGACTGTTTATTGGTCTTATGCAGGTTTAATATATATTATGAGGATGGAAATGCGAGTCGCTTATTTTTTTATTAGGGATTGTTAATTTGTTACTGAAGTAATTGACAAGTGCTCCTCTTCGATGTTCCGGCCCTTCGACAACGGAAAACATGGGCGCTGTGGATTTGCCTGGACAGTGTCAGCAGTGTAGATTCTATACATATTGGTTGGCACAGTCTAATCCTTTCGAAAGCAAGCGCCTTGCACCATCTCCTTGCAAGCAGCACCTGCAGCAATGCGTCACAATTATGCGGTGTATTTTATTGGGATTTATCCTGGTCTACGTAGCAATCGACCTCGGTGACTGGATCGATGCCAGCGGCGGATACTTTTCCAAGCACACCGGCTACAACAGTCCAATCATCACCAATCTGGCCTTTGGGATCAGTCAGACTAAAGGCCTCCGTGCAGCCGCCGTTCTTCTGGCCATTATGTGGCCTGGTTATTTTCACAAGGTCACCGACTATCTATCCACTGTGCACAGAACCCATACATCTTCGATGCGAAAGCCGGTTTTCTTCTTTATCGTTATCCACGTTACAGTACTCATTCTGCGCTATTTGGCCGGTTATAACACCGCATTTTATGTCAAAGGTCACAAAGTGTGGAATGTTGGCAAGTATTTTGTTTTCGCTTTGCCAGAAGGGTTTATTGTATGGTACACGTACAGTGCAGTGTTTCTGAACGAGATGGTTATTTTGCCGATATTGTTACTCTGCATCCATTTGTGTGATACTGATGTGGAATTTACCCAATCCCTAAACGTCGCGTTGGACACTGAAATTAAGCTCATGAAAAATTCCCGGAGGATCTCGTCAGACAGCTTCACTCAATCGGCAGCACTGCTTCGAGCTGATGACGAAGCATCCGACGAACGCTTGGCACTGTTGAGTCAAGCCGTATCGCTCCTGTTAATCACTCTCCTGATGGGTACTCTGTTTGTATTGGCGGCATTATGGTGTCGGGTGTTCCTCGCCCATTTAATGTACGATTGTTTAGCTGAAATACTGTTTTACTTTCACGTAATCTCCTCTTTCTGGATGCTGCTAGTCCTTGTGGAAACCGTCTTTAGAGTAACGCGTGAGGTAATGCTTTTTCACCAACAATCTTCGAAGATGTTTTTCATACTAGCTATTGTTCTGCTAGCGTTCCCAAACGGTTCGAAGTTCGAACAAACTGATTGTTATGCGTCAGCTGACAAGAGAAAAGGTAAACCCTTTAGCTGAGTATTCAGCTGAATCTGATCAATGATAGAAAGGACTTGAATAAAATGGTGCTTCCCGCTATGCATAGCGTTATTGGCTATGGGTAGTTAAACACAATTATGAAGTTCGGCGCCAGTGTAATCTGTTAATTTGGAGCTTTGTTATTGCTTCTACCGTAAAGCATGGTTTTTAAGCTGTACAATTCAAAATGGTTTTAAGCTAACAACTTTTAGCAATGTGACTTCGATGAGGGCATTTATTTGGCAAGTATCTCTCGTCGCGCGGAGTCCATGCCGCGCAGTCTGCTGCTGCTGTCCACAGTCGAAATGGATCGCGGGATTTTAACCGGCGTAAGTTGTTGTTTGCGAATTGCAGACATTTAACACATATAGGGGGCAAAACTACAGTAAACGTGGTCCACCGTTTCCGGCTACTACTGATGCGAGCCTGGTGGTTTACATAAAACATCAACTACGTTTACAAGTACGTACAGATACATTAGGTAAACTGCAGTAAAATTGAGGTATATTGTAACTGTAAGCCTAGTGTAGCTAATACCACATCATACATGTACCGTCAATGCCACCCAACCTTAACAGCATCGCTGGACATGAAACGCTGCCCAGCCACAACATAAACCACCAGCAGGCTAACATCAGCAGTAGCCGGAAACGGTGGAACACATTTGATTTTGCCCCCTATAATATTGTATATACCCTTGTAGATGCAATATTTGCAATATTTGTAGATGCAATAATTATTTGGTACTGCCTCACATTAAGATTGTCTGAAATCTTTCAGATATTCATGGGCTGTATTGGATTTGCTTGTTTCGTGTATGAACAGTCCGAGAACTATACTGTGGCTTACGCAACAAGAAACGGAAATGTCACTGTGTAATAAAAATTACTAGTATTTAAGAGATAGCGCTGTTTTGCTTTAACAAGGTGCACGAGTACTACAGAGTACAGCTTATCGTTAATCTGATTTTGATAAATTTTATTTTCCCAGCGGCACACAAACGTACAATACACACAGCTAATTAGAAAAGCCTAAATTAGAGCAGACTGCAAAAACTTTCAAAAATAAAAAAAAAAACGGTTAGAAGAAAAATAACGAAGAAACTTTAAAACAGACATAACAAAACAAGGTAAATGCGGTTCAATGGCAATACTAGCACAAATGCTTAGGAAATCGTAAAAAAACGTGAAGGAGCTGATTAATGAGCGATAGCTGGCAGCCAGAGAGAGCCGAACGAGTTACAAGTACAAAAGCAGATTCAGATCCAATGAAAAAGCAGCGGTAAGCCAGTGACAATGCTCTCCACTTTCATCCTCAAGCCTTGCTCAGCAGCGGTTCATTGATGTCATCCACGTACTTCAGCACCGGGCCGATGGGTTCGGCCGTACAATGCGGGCAGCGAATTGCACCCTCCTTTACCAGCTCCTTGCACTTGGGGCAGGGCCAATCAGTGGAGGGGGCCTTGGCGACCTCCTTGCGTTTGAAGAGGAAGATGACCTTAATGAAGAGGAACAGGGCGAATGCCACGATGAGGAAGTTGATGATGGTGTTAATGAAGTTGCCGTAGTTCAGTGTGATGGCACCGGCTTCCTTGGCCTTCAGGACCGTCGGGTAGGTGGCACCCGCGGCGCTGTCATTGGCGTTGCCGTAGCGCATGATGACGAAAAGGTCACCCAGGGCGGCATTGCCCGCCAAGCCGATGATCGGGCTGAAGATGTCGTTGACCAGGGATTGGACGATGGCTCCGAAGGCCGCGCCCAGAATGATACCCACCGCCAGATCCACCACATTGCCGCGGTTGATAAAGTTCTTGAAGTCGGCGAAGAAGCCCTCCACCTTGGCAACGGCTTTGCCGCCCACAATCTTGGTGCGTTCACGGATTTCGGCCATTTCTTTGTTTATGCTGTAACCACAAAAAGAGTGTCATTCGTCAGTGTCAAGTGCTGAGTGGTCCTCATTGCTCCTTCACTCGTTTATTGATTGCAGTGACTAGTCGTACATAAAAAAGTAATGTATTACTTTTTGCAACACACTGGGGAGACACTGCGTTAGACCGCTGGCAACTACAGGCACGCATGCGCAAAAAAGCTGACATCATTATGGCCGACTTCTGGCCCGATAAATCAATAACCATTCCTGTGTAAATCAGTCCATTAACGGGAAATAAACTACAAGAAATTATTGATCAGCGATGGTTTATCGAGCCATGTAAGATAAATTAGTTTTGCCAAACATTTTTGTTTGGACGGTACAAAATATTGTGGATGGTCTGGGAAGCGGTAAAACCCCACGACAAGCCACATGGACGTTGTTGCCAAGGAATTTTTAGCTTTTTTTCTGTGAACCGGAAAAGGAATGATTTTAAAAAGCTAAAAAATAGGACCTAAAAAATTAAAAAAGCTCACGCAAAGTTTTGCCAATTCATTTTAAATCTGATAAAACTTAAAAACGCTTTAACGAACAAACTTTCACAGTGCTGTCACGAATCGTTATTGTGCAACTTAAATAGGTTTACGATATATTGTATCTAAACTAGAGTCTCTGAATGATTTGCAATAAAATAATACAGTGAAGGTAGTAATGTAATCATCCATGATTTTGCGCTACAGGTGAATTATACGAGTACTGCAGATTTCCATTGCAATGTATTGTATGATTTTGACTGATTCGCCCATAAAAGTTTGACTTACAACTACACCTACGCTACACTGCAGCGCTGGTCATCACCATCGTAAACGTCATACACAGAACAGAACGCCGAATTAACGATTCCGCACCGGTGAATTATTTCTCAACGCTTGATTGGGTTGTAAAATATCCTATCGCATAGGTAAAAACTTTTCTTTGGCAACATTTACTGCACTATATGTATATAAAGTGCAGAGTGTGCAGTGGTAGACTGGTAGGTCGTGTGCATTCACTGCAGTTTATACGGCGTAGGTTTTGATATTGATGGCGTGTCTGCATGTGCCGGCACATTGTAACCGGGTAGGGAAACATTTCCACAGCCAATCTCCCATCCCAGACAGCCTGTCCCTATTTCGCCCTATTTGCATCCTTCACAATCATCTGCACCCGGAACCATAGGGACTCTCTGGGGGGAAAATCGATAAGGCAATGTCGTGACCAAGCATCAACATCCCGTTGGACGGATCATTTGGATGTCTGGCCACTATAATATGCCGCTGTGCATGCTGCACCTAGCGTGCATCCAGTGAAAATATACAGGAGAATTGAGAAACATCTTTAATTGCGCAGTAGGGAAGAGAAAATGCAGGCGCCCGGTTATCGATCGGGAATTTACATGCCGTGAACGTAAATCGGCAAAGACAGGGCGGGAAGATTTATTTCTGGGAGCGGGATGAAGAATCTGTTTACGCCATTGATCCGGCATTTTTTTTGCTGGAAACCACCTCATTACTGCATTACGTTTAAGCTGTTAATATGCTCCAGGTTTTTTCCTCTTAGAAATCATATTCTACACAGATTTTTCGATTATGCATAATTTAGCGTGCCGTTCGGCCATGTAACGGTGTCATGGTAGATGCATTTGAAAAGCTACTGCCTAAATAATGTACAATGCTATCTATGTGCAATCTGACACGGTATGCATAATATGACCCTGTTTTCCTTTTCAAACATCCCGTAGCATGTCAGGACAGCAAATTAACTGTGCGGCCAACGCGTCAACGTGAAAAGCGATATTGTGATAAAATAAACAGACGTTATACCATTTGGATGCAATATGTATCTCATGGCAGTTGGTAAATAAACCATAATTTCCTTTTGGACAAGTAAAGCTTGTTAAAACAAACATGAGACTTGACTCGTAAAATGTGTGCTGGTCATATAATCTGTCTCGGCATGACAAGCCGAGCGTTGACAAATCCCGCGGCTAATATTTCCCATTATACCGGCAAAATTCCTTTACGAAACCGATCTCTTTAATAACATTACACATTACCCTTTTTAAAATTAGCATGCATTGTCATGCAGCGTCTTACCTTGAGTATGCACTTCCGGTTGTCCAACGGTCGTTGTCACAACAGCGCAGCCGGTAAAGCGATCCGTGGTCGGCAAACAATCCGCTTGAACAAAGAGCACCGTCAAGTGCTGCGTAGTGGCGTTGTCAGTGTGGTGGGATGCAGTTGTCAGCGGTGGTGGCATCAAGCGCGAAAACAGAACAACTGAAAATGTCTGGTCGCCGTATGCTGTGCACGTCCAGGCCGCGCTTGTTTATCGCTCGATGTGCACAGGCATTATACACAACTAGCCGATCGATTGAGCAGTGGAGCCTGCTTGGTGTGGAGGCGGTCCTGTGTTCTGTAGTGGCTGCGAGGCGGCCGGAGGCCGGGCCGTTTGCGTGATCGTCATGCTACGCTGGGCTTAATGGCCATCTGCGTGCCATTGCGCATCTGCACGCGGCTAAATTGCATGTATAGTGCGCATTAGTCCAGTGTACACAAAAAATGTCCGATAAGCCTGTCAAGGGTGGTTCCTGTTGTGGGCGCTTATACAACTACGTGTACATGCACCTGTACGGTGTAGTGTGTGAATGGCCGTTTTACGTTTGGCCTTCAGGAGAGAAAGAGGAAAAATGCCGGTAATCAAGTGAACCGGTTGCACTGTTTAATGGGCTACTAATGAGCGGCAGTTATGTGTAAAGTTGTTTATGGCACGAACATGTAGACATAAACCATTACGATACACTATACACGCTTCATCATTATTGTACCGGAATCGATTGTACTTTGGCTTGTTGTTAAAGCTACTTTTGGTTTGAAATATTTTACAACAACATACGTAAGTGAAAATCAGCGTCATATCGCATGCTGGATTGACCTTACCGTACCGTTCGTAGGAGATTAATTTACTTGCTTAATTTACCACCACTAGTGATGTGCTACTACAGCTTCAGGCTACCTTACTTACTATTTACTAATCTTCCAAAACTTTTACTTACTATTACTTACTATTAACCCAAAAATTTTTGAAATACTATTACTTACTATTCACATTTTTCCTAACCAATTACTTACTAATTATACTAAATAAATTTAATTTAATTACTAACTTAATGTTATTATCATTTTTGGGACGCTTGTGCATTTCATGAAGGAATCAAAATATACTGTATTTTATGCGAATCTATGGTGTAAAGGCAGAATCTAACAGAACAACTATGCTGCACAATCTGCTTGGCAGGCTGCTGCTGCATTGCAATGTTTCAAATCCTATAATTATAAGTACTTTACGTAACCGCAGTTTCGGGTCGGCGGTACATTGCGTTTACGTGAACAGCAATACCACCGTATGTTAAGGCACCAACTTTAATTTAGACTACGAGGAGGATTGTAGTTGAGTCGGTAGCGCAAAGCTGCTGCGAGTTAAACTGAACACCAGTTCCGTAAGCTATTGACGTAATAATCAACCGTGGATGGTTCCACAAACCAACAGCTGCGGTTGGTAAGTAAATGATGCCACCCCCCACGGCTGACTGTTGCGCAGTTGTTCGAAGTGCAACCATCCACGGTTGATTGTTACATCAGTAGCTTGCGGAACTGGTGTTCAGTTTAACTCACTGCAGCTTTGCGCTGCCGACTCAACCATAATCCTCCTCGTATGCATCACCGTTAATGATGAACCTGCCCTAGTACAGCAACGAGTCTTCTGGTTATTCGAAAAAATTCGATTAGTAAATGAATTAGTAAATAACTTCTTTTAGCAAAAGCCAAATCTTACTATTTACTATTGTAGCTGAATATTTACTTACTTTTACTAATCTTGCCTGTAAAACTTTACTGTTTACTACACATTTAATTTTAGGGAAGCTTTTACTAATTAAATAGCATTTATTTAGTTTTATTTAGTAGCACATCACTAACCACCACTATACGTCGAGGGTGATTAACTACGGCTTTCTTCATCCATTGACGTCAACGCCAAGTATAATTCTTCATCTAGCCTCGCTTATTTTAACTGCAAGAAAGCTTTCGTTCAGGGCGAGGTGATATTTAATAAAATAAAAACACGGAAATCCAAGATTCACGCACATCTTGACGTGCGTAACCTTCGTTTTAAAAGTTTAAAAATTAAGGATAGCTAATAATCAGGACATCTTCAACCGTAGTATCGCTATTTGTCTCAAAATACACCTCGAATACCATGTCGATACTGTAATTGCGGACGTATTTGACGGCAGGATCTTCCTGATATTTAAAGGCGTGATCCTTCCTGTTATTTGGAGCAATTTAAATGTCAGGAAGAGCCCAGTTGTACAAGTACCGTACATGCGCCTATTTGTGACACTCAGTACTGTCATGATCGTTTACGTTCTGACAAGTCTAACTATGCTTGTCACAAGCAGGCGGCTCTTAGCTCTTATTACAATCATACTTTTTGACAAATAAACAAATGCCGGTATGAACATTATGTATGTGGACTCAGGTATTGTGAAAACGTTTTACCAGTTTTAACCATAATCCGTTTCTGATAAGGCTTGAAGCTTAATGGAATACGTAGTGGCGGAATTTTGTTTCTGGTACGGAAATGGCGATGCGTTGAAAATACTTGACTCTCATTTTCCTAAAAACATTCAACGCAGACATAGGTTACCAGTTATCTATTCTTACCATCCATATACAGCAGATTCCGTTTTACAAAACATCAGCTGCATACGGAAGGTCGCCTGCGTTAAATCAAGCAAAACTGTCAACGTTTTTTGTTCCATCTTCTGTATTTCGACACCATGTACCAACAGCAAATCCTGAAAGCTGAAACGTTGTGCTACTTGCTTCAGGTCACCTGACGTCTACAAAATCAAGCAATGGATCCACTGAGAAAGAACAACCACCGGAAGCTGGTAAAACATATAAATGGGATCAACCCGAAATCTTACAAAACTTCCACAGGGGCAGCACTAGGTTACGAGACTGATGTACACGTAGTATACTACTAACTCTGTTAATCATATTCCGAAATTGGTTGGCGTTTGAAGAAAACCCGACTCGTTTCAGAACTACGCGACTGACGAGGTAAGAAAAGTACATTGCAAGGGTAAAAGTTTTCTTAGCTCATCAGTCGTGAAATAGCGTTCAAGACAGAGTCCTTATCAATCAAATATGTGTTCACGAACGTTCAGGTTCATGTTGCATTAGAGCAACATTTGCATTATAATGCAAGTATTGCTCTAATGCAGCCGTAAACATTCGCAAAAATAAACCTGCAAGGTCACGGAAATAAATTCCCATGACCT